GAGAGAGAGAGAGAGAAAGATAGAAAGAGAGGGAGGGTAAAGAGGGTAAAGAGGGAGAAAGAAAGATAAATAGAGAGAGAGAGAAAGAGAGAGAGAGAGTGAGATAGAGAGAGAGAGAAAGAGAGAGAAAGAGAAAGAGAGAGGGAGAAGCTAAACATTTACATTTTCTGCGCCTTCAATTAATGTTTTTCAGTGACATCTACACAGAAATGTGTTTTAAAATGAACATAAAACACGTTAAGAAAAAAAAAATCGATAAAGATTGTCAAATCGGTGGAAAAATGCATTTCATCGATTTCATTATTTTGACAAGCGCCTGATATCACCACGATGCCTCACATGTTATAATGACACAGTGAACAAACAAAAGATACTCAATTTTAACAAAAACACTTCCCAGTCGAAAAACGAACTCAAGTCTTCTGTATGCAAGGACGAAGTGTCTAATAATTACTCCACAAATGTCGGTATAGTAAACCTGATTTGAGGGGGGGTTTGAAAAATATAGATGATGCATTAATACTGAAAAAATATACTCAGGGTGTTAAAGAAACTCCTTGGATCTGTCCAAAACTTTTATAAACTTTTTCGTGTAATCTTTGCTTTCAATATTTATATGAGTATGTTTGAAAGTTTTCCAACAGACCAGTTGGTTTCAATAACATTGAGAAAGAAAAATTAATTAGACCACGCCCTACTTTGCTGATATTCACGCTGATTGTGAACATTTTCTTGTTATCTCTGTGCCTGTACACAACAGCTTTGGGTCATTCCACTGTTCATTCACCCGTCAATTTGATTGAAAATCTTTTTGTCAAATCATTGCAAAGGAAAAAAAGTACAGTAGTCTCCGCTTGAAAGCACGGTGCTCTGGGGGCCTCCTTACTTTGAGTTTACATGAACCTCTGCAAGGGGGGAAAGGACGCAACCTTCTCATTTCCTTGATATTATACAGTCCATGCCGGCTTTAAGCACGGCCGTCGGGAGAAAGCTTAAGCGTGCTTAAAGCCGAAGCGTGCTTGAGTGCGAAGTAGACATAATCCAGAGATTTTCAGGTAGAAAATTTCGCGTTCTATTTCCCTTTGTTTGTAAGTAGTCCTATAGCGGTCCCGCAAAAGTGTGCACTGTTTTTTACCCGCCGTGGTAGTTTTTGTTTGTTTATTTGTTTTTGTTTTGTGGTGGAATGGGAAATGAAAACTTAATTTAGACGGCCAGTCACGATACAACACACTAGGCCTACACACTGCCTGTGCATACCTCTGCCCGCTGTGCCACTCCATACCACCATCTTCATCCCACCTCGCGCGTGATACACAATCAGCATTAAAGGATAGCAAGGGTCAAAGGTGAAATCGCAGCCAGCCGCCCTTTCTCGTCTCCCCGACTCTCTTTGTATTTTTTAGTCTGTGTGTAACTTTGCCCTAGGCTAGATCCCATGTCCACGCGCGCGGCTGCGTGCATCTCTCTGCCTTCCTTTCCGCCTGTGTGAGTGTGTGTCTCCATCACTTGCGTTCTCTGTGTTTCTATCAACACACTCCACTGCTGCAGTGTAGACTGTGTTCGAACTTGGACGGGTCATCATAAAAGTATTGACTGTCTTGTAATGAAGCGTGCCTGAAGCCGAAGTTAGCGTGCTTCAAGGAGTGTAATTTATATAGCAAAAATTCGGTATGAGCCGTTTAGCGTGCTTAAGTCCGAAACGTGCTTTAAGCCGGCGTGCTTATAGCCGGCATGGACTGTAGTGAACTTCCTTGGAGTGCAGGGAATCACTTTTGCCAAAAATGCGATGAAACATGACTGTTTTTTTACGGTTATGATTTCAAAAGTCATTGAATAAGAGGTGGAAAAAAGAAGAAAGGCCAACCCACTGTATTGATTTGCACTAGCTAACATGTCGGCAACAGATAAGAGGAAATTTGGTGAAAGTGATAATCTTAGGGCAGAGCCTTTAGCCACGCGGCCTTCAAAGTGAACATTTCCGACTGAGTGACGTCCGACATTTTAATAGAATGACTTTTTGCTTGTGACTTATTGAACAAGTACATTTTAAATACTTTTAATGCAGCTGATCACTTTACTAACCTCAAATCCTATAGCCTATTTAGTGCTCTACAATATTCACGAGTATTGAGCATCATATTCATCGGCCTATTAAGCATAACAGTCACGCAAACACTAGTGAGAAACCTGTCAAAGAGAGACCAGTCCAAAGACATTTCAGCCCCCCTCTCCACAAACACATCGCTCACCTGATCCTAGACCTGTGTGTCTGTGAACAGCTGGATGTGAAAATGCTGTTCATCACTCTCTTTTGTTCTGTGTGGCGGACAGTCTCGCCAAATATCCGGTTGTCTAGACTTATTTTATGCAAGCTGTATAGGTTGTAGCGAAAATTTCCCTTTGTCAAACTTTACTTGTCAGTGTGTTTCACGGATTGAAACATGCCTTTAGATGAAGATTGCTGTGCCTTTGTACATTTAAATTATTAAAAAATATTAATGTCATACATTTGACTGGAGCATGCCTTTGTCTGGCGTGCATTTAGGTGGAGACTAATGTGATCCATGTACATGTATGTATGTAAGGGGACGAATGTGCTTGTGTTCATGTTCCTATATGTGCATATTTTTCTGGAACTGAGAAGCTGATTGCTGGTGCTACTTTGACTGGCTACATAGAGATCTTGAAGTGTAAAATATTATTTTTGTTTTCAAACATGATGACAGACCACTTTCTGTGTGTTTCCAGGCCCACACACAATGTCAAGCAGTGTCTGTGAGATGATTTATGGGTGGATGTTCTCTGAAATGTATCCTTGGGAAGGTTGCTCTAACCCGAACGAGAGAGCAGGGTACTGCACGACTGTCTGGCAATTTCATCCAAATTTTCATTATAGCAATATGAGAAACAAGTTGCTTTGCAGTGAAGTATAGGGCCTAGCCAGAGGAGAGGAGAAAATCTATTTGACTGTGAAGTGTTTGTGTCTCTGCCAACCTCTCATGTTTAGAACATTTGTGCCTACCCCCCCCCCCTCCTCATTCCCTCTGACACACACACTAAAAGCCACATGTGTGCTGGCCACCCATCCAACCTCTCCTGACCCAGCACAGGCAAGGATATGTTATGTAATACGCATGTGTCTACATCGAACGAGTGATTCATGATGTGACAGAAGGCTTCTGATTGGTCGCATAACATAAGATGCATGCAATAGGATTGGCTAAGCTTGTAATGATCAAGATAGGCTCTTGGAGTAGAGTAGATGGGGTTTATTGCAGGCAAAAAATACGTAAAGCCAATGGGGGGCAGTTTGTCGGACAAGCAACAATTGTTCATAAGTTGAATCTGAGTTATTTTGTTGATTTTAATTTAATTTTTTTTTTTACGCGGAATCCATCTCCCTTTGTTGAATCTTTTAGTTGAATCCGAATTTCACTTCATTGACGGCTGCCCAAGTTGTTAGAAAAATATCTTTTTCTAAGGGATCCATGAAGTTGTTTTTCTTTCCTTTTTTTTCCTTTTTTTCTTTTCTTGAATGAATTTCTAGAATTACTGAAGTGGAAGTGTGAAATGTTTTAGATTACTATCTGCACATATGACATCTAATATATCCACCATCACCCCCACTCCTACTCCTTCTATTATTGTGTGTAATGCAGACATTTTTCTTTGTTTACAGTTCTGTATGTTCAAGAAATCTTTACTGTCTCTGTGTTACCAGCACTATAACGGACCATTGCGTAAAGTTTGTGTTATTTATATTACTTGTAGTGTTGTACCGGTATTTAGTTAATTCCTTGAATTTTGTCCTCGCTTCTTTGTGGGGTAAATTTTGATTCTGGGACACTACTTATTATGTCTAAGATGAGTGAGAAAATGTCATATATGAATGAAGTTGATTATGAAATCAGTTTGAAAATCATTTTCTTGTAAAAGTATTAATGAGTGTGTCAGTCGTTGTTTGAGAGTAAGAAATGATTTTGTTGTTCTTGTTTTGAATCTGATTTTATGCATTAAGTTAACATGAAAATACATGCTTGAGTCTTTGATACACGTGTGTACTTTTTTAAAAATTTTCCTTCTAAGGGTGTTTTTGTCACTGTTTATGTGTTTTTCACGTGATTGAAGGATGCCCTTTTGTATTTTGAGTGTAAGTATAATAGTGAGGAAATCTCTTCACATCTCAAGCCAGATTATCAGGATCAACTCCTTGTTTGTTCTAGAGTAAATGGATGGTAGAAATTACGTAGGTTTTTATGAGAACAGACCAGATTGATCAAGAAAAAACAGCTCCTTGCCCACCCTCTTAAAAGCGGTCTCAGTCTCAACAGCATTGCCTAACAATAGCATTAATATTGTACATGTACTTGAGCCTGAACTCACTATCTACTCTACCACTTAAGTCCCTTTCTTAATGCCTTTTTACTTGTGATTTGGGTTATCTAACAGAGAAACATGGTATGTGTTTCCTCACAAGGAGAAAGGTGTAAAATGAGAAAACTTTATAAATTTCTGGAGAGACATTTTGTTAATGGGAGCTCTGTACTCTTGTCAGATTCCGTTCCTGATTTTAGCTTGGGACACATGTACATGTAATTTGAATTGTTGAAGTTTCATGCCCCTATTGACACAATTTGGATCATTTGGGAGATGGGCTACTTCTAACCCAGGCTGAGAAGGGTACATGGTCCTAGCAGAAAGTTAGACATACTCTATGGAAATTCTCTGCACAGAGAAGTCAAACTCGCATCTTCTGTATTGGATGGTGAAAACCCTAACTGCTATATCACAGACATCAGTGTTGGACACCAGTTGCAACCATAAAGAAAGAAAAGAAAAAAATGGAGGAAAAACAGAGGATATAAGAGTAAGAGATCAAGAGTAATAAAAATAA